AATTGTTCTGAAGAAAGGTGCTGTTCCAACTATTTTCAAATGGTCTAGTGAAAAACGATCCTGGAGTACTTTTTTGAGCAAAGGAAAGCGTACAGGTGAAGATTTCGAGGCGCCACGCAAGAAACGGCAACGAAAGAGCTGCCCGCATTGCGAAAGAAAACAAGCTGCTATCGACAGACTGTAAAGTGATCTTGAAGAAAAAAAATGCACAGTTGAAAGAACTTAGTGAAAGGTTCGAGCATTTCAAAAAGGAAAAGGAAAATCAAGAGGTTGCCGGAGCCTTGAAGGAAGATAAACACGTGTGTTTTTCTGCTGAAAAATTCAATGACCAGGACCAGTTGATTCGATTTTACACAGGTATTGTAAACTGGACTTTGTTTTTGCAGTTGTTTAACTTTATTGTCAGTAGATGTAAGGATATGAAATACTGGAGATCTGACGTTAATGCAGATGAAAATCACCCGCATGAGCCTGATCAGCTACGTCAAGGAAGACCTCGAAGTTTGTCGATGCTGAAAACTTCAATGACCAGGACCAGTTGGTTCGATTTTATACAGGTATTGTAAACTGGACTGTGTTTTTGCAGTTGTTTAACTTTATTGTCAGTAGATGTACGGATATGAAATACTGGAGATCTGACGTTAATGCAGATGAAAATCACCAGGATGAGCCTGATCAGCTACGTCGAGGACGACCTCGAAGTTTGTCGATGCTTGATGAGTATTTTCTAACTCTTGTCAGATTAAGACATGCCTTCCCAGAGGAGCATCTAGCTTACCTTGAGGTGCAGGTGCAGGCAAATGAGGTGCAGGCACGCAAAAACCACCAACGTGTTTGTGGTCTTTTTAATACTTACTGCTGCCTTCCCTCTGAAATACGACCACAAGGGTATATGTGTAAGACCTCACACTTTCTACTGGCCGGGTTTGGAGTTGCTTACGCATTTCACTGGCTGGAATATTAGGATATTTGGTTGTTTCTCGTCTTCAGTGAACTGTTGGACTGAGAGCCCTATTTGCATAAGGAACAATGCCACGTTATTGGCTGGAGTCGAAGTATTGTTTCACTCTTCATGGAACAGTGATCTCTCTAATGGTGTTGTTCTCACCAATCTGTTTAATGGCTCTGCTTGTATTACATTCTTCCGACGTCCATGGATCAGCTACTACGTTCCACCCGAGTTCCTGGGAATTTTGAATATGCCTGATTTCTCATGTCGGTTACGCCTACGTAGGCACAGGTGTCCAATAGCCTACTATGCAGATTCATGTGCCTCATTCCATCAAGTGCTAATTGGCGATCTGGTCTTCAAACTTAATCCTGGTCCTGAGGGATGCGGTATATCAACAATTGTGAAATCACGCCATCAAAATAATGGAACTTTACGGGCGCCTCAATCACGTTCTTCATTGTCTAAATCAACAACTAGGAATGTCTCAAACTTTACTAAAGTGCATTGTTTGTCTGCCAATTGTCATTTTGTCACATGAATGCCCAGTCGGTGCGCAACAAGACAGCCGATTTTGTAGATTACGTCTGTGAACGTAGATATGACTTTGTTGTGATTACCGAGACGTGGCTCCAGCCCCATGATGATGAGCTAAGAATAGAACTGTGTCCTCCATGTTACAAGTTTATTGACTTTCCACGACAAGAACGGACAGGTGGAGGCATTGGACTACTGTACAAGGATTCACTTCGTGTTAGCACGACTCGAGATGGAATTCAAGAGTCGCTTGAATTTTGCGAGTTGTTGGTCCAAACGTCGACTTCCCGCAAGATACGGCTTGTGATCGTCTACCGTCCACAGAATTGTGATGACCACCGCAGGGTTCCCATTGACACTTTTCTGATGGAGTTTTCTGACCTGATGGAGTCCACTATTCTATCCAAAGAGCCTTTGATTGTCGTTGGTGGTTACAACATACATGTGGATGTTCCTAATGATACTGATGCACTTAAGTTTTTCGATCTGCTTGAGTCTCTCGGTTTGGAGCAGCATGTGACAGAGCCAACGCACATACGTGGTCACACCCTGGATTATAACAAGAAAGATTGAGGATATTCTGGCGAGTCCACCACGCGCCTGTCGCTATTTCTCCGATCATGCAGCTGTACATTGTCATATTGCCATAAGTAAGCCGTCATTTCAGACTAGGATAATAAAGTTTAGGAAAACTAAATCCTTGGACGCTGAGAGCCTATCGAACGATGTAGTACTTACAGGGCTATGTGATCGAGGTAATAGCGATCCCATCACCCCACTGGATTTGGATGTACTTGTAGAGGATTACACGACCACACTCTCTCAAGTTCTTGATCGTCACGCACCTTTAACAGTGCGGGCTAGGCCCAAGGTACCCTGGTATACCAGTGAGATAGCCGAGGCAAAAAGGCGACGCCGGAAAGCAGAACGGAGATGGAGAAGAACACGATCACAGGAAGATTTGTTGGCATTCAAGAAACTCAAGAACCACGTTACTTATTTAAGTACACGGGCTAAGCATGCTTTCTAC